AAATAATGTTCTTTTTAGCAGCATCATATGACCCCTTTAATGATGACAGAATTGTAATTTTGAATTTTCATTCATTTTATCACCTTTTTTTGATGAAATGCTTTTGTTTTTGCTTATTTGTAATTGAACATGATTATAAATAAATGTAATGATACAAGTAAAAACTGAAATGCCAGGTAAAAACTTATAGTCTAGTGTCCAAAAGACAGAGACAGAGCTCACATTCCAGGTCTGGTTCTTTTCCAGTTAGGTACTGAACCACAGCCTGAAACTGTGTCAGTTTACGGTGATGTGGATCGATGTCAGTCTCACAGTATGTCCTGAAATATTAAAAACCATCAGATCAGGCTATATTACAGCATTTCAGAAGTTAGAAACAGCCTAACATGGTTTTTAGCCTTCGATAACATCTACCATTCATTAGCAATAGTGACATCAGAAGCAGTCAGGTCATGTAGGCCTGTAGACAGAAAAAAACAACAGCAACAACACAGCTGAGAGGAATTGAGGCAGGCAAATGATCTGTATTTTGCAGGTACTAATCTGAACATCTTTACCTTCTTCAACTGAAACATTTCCGATGAAAACATTCTTCCCGTGACCTTTGGTAAGTACAATTCCAAGACTTATAACAAAGATGCACAATATAAGTCCAGAAGTCTCACACTTAGCAAAGATTTAAATATGTTTTTATCACTGCTCACCTGAATGGAGTTTCATTAATGGTAGTGTAAAAATATTCATTTTTCAGGAAAACAACTCTCTTCTGAGAAGGGAACACATCAGCATGTAAGTATGACAGTCACAGCTAAGTTATTATGAGAGAAAAATGAATGAATTCAATTAAGGTTAACATATAAGAAGCGAATTAAAGGCCAAAATCGACTCACTCCTTTGTCTACTGTTGTTCTGACGTCCAGAGAGATCGTCCCACTTTCCCCTTTTACCATCGCTGTTCTCAACTAGAGGATCAAAACACAAACACCTTGAAGCAATTGATCTAAAAATGGCATGATGAGAGTTTATTTATATGTATGTGTGTGTTGTTCCGCTTACTGCATCTTCTGTATCTTCCCACTCCACCTCTGACAGATCCACACTGTTATAGTTCGGCTTTGGCTTCAGCTTCTTACCGTCTTTATACTACCACAATGTATTGAAAATATCAACTTCAATGTGATACAAACTAATAACAAGGTAATCAGCTCTTATGGGCAATATGTGTAAGATCACTAAAGGGAATATTGTGGAGCTCACCAGAGGTCGAAGGTCAGGATGAGAGAGTATATAGCCATTATTAGTGTTTAAGAATGCATAGCCATGAACTCCCAGCTAAAATGGCAAAGATAAGTCAAAACAGCAAATCATTCAGTAAAATCACATTTATTTTTCCGTCTGCAGTCTAAACAATCAGCAATTGTCACTCTGTATGCAATAATCTCCATGGATACAGCCTGCCTTATCAATGAAAAGATATTAGATGTGACTAGTGTTAGTGTAAACAGAGGACTGAAGACATTATGAAGGCACCTTGTATCGAGGAGCCAATCTCATGAGCTCTTTCAAAGGGACATCCGTGCCAACCACACCAAGGAGGATCCCATGAGACAACTACAGACAAGAAAGAGCTCATTTAGAAATATGAACAATAAGAAATCTCGAAATTTTAATTTGACCACCACAATCTCAAAAACTTGAAATATATTTTTGAGTTTATTTTAAAAGAAACTATTCAAATTGAACTGTTTTTAAAGTTTTACATGTGTAAATGATAAAAAAAACCGGAAAATATTTAAATATTAATAACACTTGTCAAGGACATTTGTGACCCTGGACCACAAAACCAGTCATAGCACGGGTATATTTGTTGCAATAGCCAAGGATACGTTGCATGGGTCAAAATGATCGATGTTTCTTTTCTTTTATGATTTATTCTTTTAAAAATCATTAGGATATTAAGTAAAGATCGTGCCATGAAGATATTTTGTAAATGTCCTATTCTAAATATATCAAACCTTAATTTTTGATTAATAATATGCATTGGACTTCATTTGGACAACTTTAAAGGCGATTTTCTCAACAACAAAAAATGTTGCACCCTCAAAAAGATTTTCAAATAGTTGTATCTCGGCCAAATATTGTACTGTCCTA